TAAATTTTAAAGTTTTACAAACATGATATAGATAGAAAATGTTGCCCTGGTCTGGGGTTTATTTTTTGCGGGATACAATTTAGAAATAAATATTTCTTATCATTAAAAATGAAACTAAAGTAGGCGTATGTTTTGAAAAATAATATTTTACAAACAGTAAAAATTTAGGAAGTTTTTAGCCGTATGTATTCTGAATTAATCAGTAAAATGAAATTCTTGCAATGAAAAAGTAACTTAAGAACTAATAATTTTGATCAGTTTTAACATTTGCTAATAAAATTTATTAAATTCTTTTCAGACATTTGTTGAATCTTTTCTCCTTGGAGTTGCAGCTTGGTAAGTTAAGTAATTGTATGTATGATTGCAATAAACTGTTTAAATCTAGGGTTGTCAAACTTTTCAATTCAGGTGTCTTTTCTAGTTTTAATTCCTTTTTTCCTTCTTAATAGTTAGTCTCACTAATCATTTAAAAACTCGTAAACTATTGCTTATCACTAGTAAAGTGTTAGGTAACAATAAAAATGTTTAAGGGTAATTCTGGGTAAAAAAAAAAGCTTTTTAGAAATATAAGCTGAGGAAAAAAATGGTAATGCTCTAAAGTAGATGTAAAAATATATATCACATTTAGACAATTCCAGTATATAATACGTATAGTATAACTTAATCAGACATGTGACTTTTCAGTATTTTTTTTCTGTTATTGTATTATCTCAAAATATGCTCACAAATTGCCATTTTAGTATTTTTTATTCTGATTGGGTATATGTCTTTAATATTTGCAGTAGTATTGGATGCGCTATTTCTTCCAAAAGAAAATGCAAATGAAATATTTTTGGTGTCACTTTATTTTTTTAAGGCCACTGAAAGCATGTATAAACTTTTATTTGTGTCCAAATGCAAAATAAAGGAAAAAAAGGAACTTTTAAATTTCTTAAAATGAGACTTATCACCTCAAAAAATTTTGAATAAATTTGAGTATAAAAAACTAATTTTCATGAAACTTAAATACCCTATTACACTGGTAGTAAACTGCAAATTAATTTTGTCTTTTGAAATGGATAACTTTTATTCCAATATTATCATTTCTTTATTGTGATTAATGTGTACCTCTGTGAATTCTCCTCTTAAGCTAAGTATTCTAACGTTACCTCTCTTTTTAAATCATCTATAATTTTGTTTCTCATAAAAATTACAATGCTGAATTGACAGCACGCTGCAAGGAACAAAAAAAGTAAAATGAATTGTTACTTAATTGCAGGTTTTTACAGTATAGGAATTTATTATCCTTTTTATTGAATTTAAACAAAAAAGTTTTTTGGATACAATTTAACCATACTTTTGCGAGTGCTGCTTTAGTATATATATATTAAATTAGGCTGATTTTTTACAATAATAATATCTTAACCAGCTTTGGCCTCACAGATAAATTTGGGTTTATGAGGATAATGTTGCAGATTGACACCATAAATTCTACCATTGCCTATGATTCGCCGGAGTATTTAGTTAAAGTTATCCAACCGGTGTAGATTTCTGAGAAATAGATTGTGAAAAATTTTGGAAATCTTTCGCGAATAATAGTTTAAAAACAAAACATCATTAGAGAGATGACACAGTCGATAAATAATAGAATCTAAATTAACGTTTGTCCGCCAGAAAACAGAACTAATTTCGGCGAAATAGAGGTGCCCAGTCACTACCTGATCTTACCCCACTCTCCCTTACCCTTCATTGAAAGTTTGGATGCCTTTAATGTTTATTTCTCTTTTTGCGTATTCTTCTCTATTTAAAACATAAATTAACAAGTCTTATAATTGTGAGCGAAAATTGTTTGATTCACTTGAATGCATAATTTTATACAAAAGCAAAATATGCAAAAAATTAAGTTAGCATTAAGGGACTGAGACTTCTGATTAAGCTATCGGAAATAATATTTTTAGATTCTGATTACCCTCTATACTTTTTAATCGAAAAATTGGTATAAAAACTCATATTTGTAGAAAAAATGTATGATTTCATAATTCCGGATGATTTCGTGTGCAAAAATAATTTAGCATAGTCGCCAAAATTGTTTTTTTTTTAGCACCCTTTTGTTTTATCATCTTGCTCTCCCTTTTCTTTTAATCAACTTTTTTTTTTCCTTGCTATAACTTGTTTTGTATTTTTCTTACTCATTTCTGTGTTCCTCTCTTTCGTTTTGTGTTTGGACGATGAAGGTACTTCCATAAAAAACGGGAAGTATTATGTTTATCTGTTTAGTATTAATTTTTACTTTTTTTTACTCTTGACTTTAGTTTCTTGTTTCGATAATGTCTTTATCTCATTATAGTGCTTATGAAGCTGAGGAAGTAATGTGGGCTGCTGGAATTTGTGCAGTAAGTGAAACATAATTCATTGTTAAGTAAAATTGTAATATTTCTACCCTTTTTTAAAAAAAAAATAATAATTTTGACTTTTCTTTCTTTTTAGTTTATATGTTTGGGTTTGACTGCTTTTGCGTTTCAAACCAAGGTAAAATTTGGATTTAATTTATTCAATTCTAAATCATTATTTTCCCATAAATTTTAAATATTGTCTTTCATTAATAGTATGATTTTACCATGATGGGTGGATTTCTGTTTGTGGCTCTGCTGTGCTTTGTAATCTTTGGATTTTTGGCTATTTTCCTCCATGATCGGGTATGTATTTTTCATTTTTTTCCTAATTATATGTTAATACTTTGTATGCTACGTACCAAATCAGAATTATCCTTACCTTATTGATGATATCTTTTTTTTCTAGATTGTACAGCTGGTTTATGCTTGTGTTGGTGCTCTCATATTTTCCATGGTAAGTATCAAGTTATTTTACATTATATGTACTGAAATTAAAATTCCTGCGTTATGATTCAAATAACATCCTGTATTGTGTTACCTCATTTTAAATATGTGTTTAAAAAGCCCAATATGTTTGAGAGTGATATTTTATTCTTCAGTTTTCTATTTATTGTACTAATGGTAAATTTCTTAAAAAAATATTTAAGCTTGAATTTGAATTTTATTTATGTCATCAATGTTTAGGTTCGAAAAATGTAATTTAATTGGAAAAGTAAAGATAATTGTTTACAATTTAGCCGTTAGTCTTTTGAATCTATGTGTGTGATTCCATATATGATGCTAAAGATAATAACTAAGTCAATTTTTGTGTCTAACATTCTATGCTGTCTAAAGTACAGTAGTAGCAAATCTACTAGACACAAGGTTTACCTCACAGCCATACTTTTCCCCATTCAATCATTTACCTCTTTTTATATATATATATATANTATATATATATATTTGTTTTTAAAAAATGACCACACTATTGAAAATTTCTACTGTACATTTTTTTTTAAAAAATAATCAAAAGACCAATCAACATCGATTTTAAATCCTTCAATTGATAAATATTAATGTGCCAACCGGCCTGTGTAGGGGTCAGAGAACTGGCCTTGCATCAAAAAGGTTCTGGGTTCGAATCCTGGGCAAGGCATGGATGTTCTTTCCTTCTCTGTACTATCTACTGTGGGAGCAATGTTGACCCACCTGATATGGTGCCCGTGAAAAAGTGGCCAACAAATTTGCCCTTCAGATGCCTGTATGACGAAAGGTCATTCTCCAGGTAGGCATTGAGGGAAAAAATATATTAATGTCAGGTGCTTTAAATTGAATTTTTTAATGTGACTTGTTAGGGGATCGATTACTGTTTAATTTTTATTAAGTATTGTTAATTAAACCCTGTTTTTACATGGTCAGTTTTGCTATTTATATCATTGATGTTTATATTGCTCATTTGTTTTATATTGTGGTATAATCTTATTTAATTTAAATATTATATTAGTAACAGTTCATTATATCAAGATGATTTGAGAATTTGAGTGCTGTATTTTTTAACTCGTTCATTTCCTAATGATATCCATAAGATTTATTAATTCTCTTGTTAATAGTTTATTGTTAAAAAAATTCTCTTGTTAAAAAATTTGCTGCACACAAAGTAATCTTGAAATTGTTATCCCAAAAACGTTCTTTTCATTTTTTAATTTCCTATGTTTTTCTTGTTTTGTAATCTTATGCCTAGTAGTTTCTTAACATGTCTTATTGGGTTAATTTAGTTTCTCCTCATTTTGAATTGAGTATCCCTGTATCATCCATGAAAGCTAGCATTTTATATTTATTCTTTTTTAACAGGTTAGGCATAATTAAAAAAAATTATTTTGGCCTTAAGTAATTTTATATTTGTTGCAAATTAAAACTTCATTAGATCATTTACATGAAAAGCTTAGTTGATTTTTTCCCAATTTTTATACGAACCAAATCTTTAATGATTGATTGATATTGAACAAATTCATTCCTTACCAAGTTTCATTAAAATATGTTTTGAATTTGAGAATGCAATGAATATATTTTTCTGCATTGAATATAATGATTCATATTTTTAAATATTTGTTATTTTTCAGTACTTGGTTTATGATACTCAATTATTGATTGGAGGCCACCACAAATATTCGATCTCACCTGAAGAATACATTTTTGCTGCTTTGAATTTGTACCTGGATATTATTAACCTCTTCATCTACATTCTCCAGATCATTGGATCCAGAAACTAAAATTTTAAAAGTATTTGATTGTATTTTGATTTTATCTTTCAATTTATATAATTTTTTTTCACGATTATTGGCTATTTACAGGAAAAAATATCTAAATAATTTTGTGTATTCCTACATCAAACTCTTGTGATATTGTAATTGAATTTTTTTTTTAAACAAAAGTTGTTAAAATTTAAAAACAGTTTTTATAAATAAAATTGAATTTTTCTTTTAAATGGTTGTGAAATTATGTTTGCACCCAGTTGTAGATATTGTATTTACTGTATTTCAAAGTTGTTGAAATGTATATCTGATTTTACAAGCTTTAAATATTTGTGTGGTGCTTAGGTATTAAAACACGCTTTGGCTAACTGGTTGTTGATTATTCTTTAAAAGTTTGGATGCTCTCCCTATGTTACAGTATAAAACAGTTACAGTTTTGATTTTGTGTTTGCAATTAAGTTTGTTTTATGTCAAAAAATTCAATTTGTGGAAGTATTCAAAATGTAAATTTTTATTTTGAACTAAACTATTTTTTAAAAAAATGATTTTTTGTAGAAATGACATAAATTTAAATTAATATGTATCTATATTTTATTGTAAATATTCAATCTAGTTTTTGTATTTTGGAATTGCATTTACTTCGAGAATAGTTCTTAATTTACAAACTTTGTGAGAAAAGTACTTTAACAAAAATTTTACTATTTCAGTAGATTTTATTTTGTTCCATCGGACTATGGAATATAAACTTATTTTGTCAAGTATTTAAATTTCATGGATCTCAGTAGATGAAAGTGCTAAGTAAAAGGCCTTGAGGGTTTTTGAAATGGAAAAGCATTGTTGGTGAGCATTCGGCAGTAAACAGCTGGCGTGTAAACATAAAAGGAATTTCTAATTGCAGCAAATTAAAACGCCAAGAGTGCAAGCGCCCTGAAGTGAATAATTTTATTTAATGCCATTTCATCAATCAAAAGATTATGGAAAAATGATTAAGGTAGGGCATAATCTTTCTTTTCTATTGTCAATGTATAAATTTATAAAATAACTCAAATTTACTAAAATGACACTTGGAAACTTCGTCTACCTACCTCGTCAGTTATATTTTATCTGTTACTTTTGACACATCTATTTCTTAGACAAATTTTGTCATAAGTATGATACTGGCAAAACAGGGATCTGTCTAGGCTTTTCTAAGAGGTACCTATTTTGTGAAAATTTAAACATAATTTGTGAAAAATTAAAAAAATTTTTTTAAGTAAAAGTATTTTGTGAAACTACTGTTCTTCCTAAAGTTGAATTTGTGAAGATACCGCTAAACGGTAGTAAATTCGGCTTGGACAGACCCCTGCAAAAGTAACTTGAATGAATAGAGACAACATGGAGATAGCTTTCAAACTTTTCAAAATAGTGTATATATAATTCTTTATCCTCAGATTGAGAAAGATTAAAATTACACGTATTGTTACTTAAAAGTATTGATTATTTTACTTACATTGCTGAGAGCAACATATGTAAGTGATATCTATACTTGTTCCTGAAGATTTATGGGGAGAAAAGGCTGAGATGTTGATAATTTTGTTGTTTTCCTACGTGTGATTGCAACACCATGATTTTTATAGCTGTTTATGTATGTATAGGGGTACAGTTTATACACAATTTACCAAAAATTGATTTTTCTCCACTTTTGTGAACAAGTTTGTGTTTGTTTTAAGTTATTGATATGTAAATCTGAATATGTAGTCAGAAACTTGTATATGCCAAAATCTGTGTCAAGTCAGTTTGGAAGACACAGACCTAAAATTTGTGAGTCCCATTAAAGAAACTCTTGATTAATAGTGTTGTTCTTTATATATGTGCACTAACATATAAATTTGTGTCGGATACTTATGAAATCTCAGTTTAAAGTTTGGAGTAATTTATTACTTTTAATATATTTTTTAATTTATTGCTGAAAAGACGTATACAAAATCAGTAAATTTAATATTTACGTATGAAAAACTTATCAAAACCTAATGAAGAAATTAAAAACATCAGAACGTATTTGATTCCCTAAGAAGCGATAATGAAATTTTTTTTTCAAAATCTTGTAATCAACCGGTTTTGATATTTTTAATTCTACCTTCCGCAGTAGTTATTCACCAGTTTTTAATGATTTTTTTTCATATTTTTCCTTACTCAAATATTTGTAACCCCTATTGTACAAATAATTTTAACCTCATATTGGGGATGTGGATCATAATAGTGGTTTGCCCAAATAGCTAGAAAAAAAACATTTTTTAAAAAAAAAATCATTAATCGATATTATTTATCTGGAAATGAGCTTAGTCATTATTAAAAAATAATCAAAATTTAGATGAATCATTGGTATGGGGTAAAGGGAAGAAAAGAAGTTTTAATAGAAATGTTTAGGATAATAAAAAATTATTAGATATTAAGATAATTAGAAATATTTAAGATTAAAACTAACAGCTATTAAAAAAAACTAAAGTTATATAATTGAGAAAAAAGAAATAGAAAAAATAATATCCTCTTAATTCTTAAAACAAAAACTTACATGCTAAAAATATTTTCCAGAAAAAAATTTATCCATAAAACATTAAAAGAGATAATGTCTATTAGAAACGCTCTTAAAAATGCCTATAATTCCATGCCGAAGTAAAATCAACATAATTGACAAAAAAATTCACAATTGAGATTTATATATATTTGGCATCTCTGTATGATACATGTTTTGTAAAAAAAAAAATCTAAGATAAATTTCGTTTTATCTCAGTTATATGAAATTCTTTTTTAGCGTAGCGTTCATAACATTAGCAATAGAAAGAAAAAAGTTAGCAAACTACTTTTCTCGGAAATTATCGTGAAGCACTTAACATTGTTTTTTCAACTCTCATAGCAGTATAAGAAACAAAGATTATATGCAAAAGCAAAACAGAAAAAAATGTGAAAATCCAGCTTAATTTTTGAAAGTTTTTAAAGACATGAGTTTTTTGAAAAAGATACTGCAAGATAGAAACCAAAACAAAAATCGTTCTTAATTTTTAAAAAAAAGATTTAACGATAAAATCTTAATTTAACCTTTTTCATATTGTTGTAATTTTAGAAAAAAGTAACAATAAAAGAATAACGTCCTTTAAAAAAATGCTGTCATAATAAAAACGCTGATAAAAAATTAACTAAAAAAATGTCAAAAGTGAAATAGAAAAAAGTTTTTATTTCTGAAATATAACTTTAGCTTTGAGAATCTCAAGTTTTTTATATCACTAGTTAACTGTGTTACTGTACAACTAAAAAAGAGACTTTAAAAGAATTAAGTCTATTAGAAACGCTCTGTTAATAAGCTTCGCTTTAGTTAAAACAGAAAAACAAGCGAAAATGAAACTAAAAAAGTTCTTAATTTTTAAAACATTAAGTGTTTAAAAAATGATAAAATTAAGTTGACTGAATATAAATAAAAAAAATCTGTGTTATAAACCCCTTGGTTCAGTATAAAGTAATCTAGGTACAATTCTTCAAATTTTGCTTTTCCATGTGTCTTTCAGAACATTAATTGACAAGTTTTATGTGTAAAAACTATTTCTAATAATGTTTAGTAAAAGTTTTAGATGATTATTTATTAAATCTATAAAAATTTCTCCCAAAAAAAATTTTTGTTGAAAATTAATTTTCTAAATAATACTTGCCAAATGTTAAGCCAATTATTCGAGAAAAGGACCGAATATTCGTTACACCCTATTTCATATTTCACTAGGATTCCAAAAATATTAAGGCTGTTGTTTAGAAATCAGCTTATATGTTCATTAAAATTTTTGAAAAAAAACATTTCTTTTTCAATTATTAAACACGAGAATATCTACGAAGTGTTGAATTTTAAAGAATATATCAAAATTATTGAAGATTAAATTCAGAAATTATTTCAGTTTTTCACTAAATATAAGCCCAATTTACTTGCAAACATTTCAATCATGAAAAGACATGTTTTTACTTTTGAGTTACACATGTACTTAGTCATAAGTAGTGTTATTTCTAGAGTTAGGTTATTCAGGCAATGGACATAAATTGCACCGACTTTCTTAATAAAAAAAAAGAAGAAAATTACCTTGGCAAGACGATTGTAGTTTAAAAACTTAAATACACTTCTGTGCAGTAAAATGCAAAAAGTTGAAATAAATTAGACATAGATAATTTCTTCATAGTTTTATTTTAAGATAGTTTTAGATCAACCAAACAGACAATTTAGCCCACTTTGCAGCTGCTTACTTATTATTTAAAATCTACTTTATTCTAATGTAAATTTAAGTGTTAAAACCTAATAAAAGGAAATTCGACTTTTTTTTTTTTACAAATCACTTTTGCAATTTTTTTCTGAAATATTTTTATATCAATAGATTTGTTATTGTAAATTGCCAATTTTTATAATTAATATTAATTTTGGTAGTCTTGCTTGCAAATAATAAATGAGGATGTTAAAATATTTTATTAACAGTCATAGATTCTGCTCGAAGTATAATAAAAAGTTATTTATGTTACTGTAGTCCTTGAGTATGATTTAGCAAAATCAGCGTCAACTTTTACATACCTGTGTATCGTTTTTACTAGATTTATTTCTATTTAATACCAACAAATGTGTGCCAATTATTGCTGGTATTGATACAATGTGTCGATTATTGAGCTGCACAAAAAAGGGGGAAGGGAGAAATCCTTCATAATTTTTTAATTGTTGGCTAGATTTAAATGAAATATGAGGATTGGGCATGTTAGCTTGTCTTCTCAAGTCCAAATTTTAACAAAAATATTGAATCACAATTTATCGATTACAAATTCCTTCTGTTCGAATAATGAACGTACAAAATATTAATGTTCGAAGACTTCCGCAAGTTTTGCAAAATTTACCTGTTCCTTTCACCACTGATGATCAACATATCAAACATACCAGAAATTAGATCCGAATATCTCTATTTAGTTATAAAACCAGATTTTTTCGAAAATTTAATTTTTTATTTCGTATTGCTATTTATCATCAGGTTCTAAATTCTGCTTTCTACTCATTCTTTTCCTTTATGGTCCAAATAGCGTTAGTTACAGTTGGAATCACTGCTACTATTATGTATGCTAGAACCATATTGAGTAAAAATGCTTGAAAATAGTACAAAATGAGGCTGTCTTTATGGAATATTATTTCTTCAGATAGTAAACAGCTAGCTACTGAGAGAAGAGCACACAGTAGTCTCTTCCTTATGGTGTATTCTAATTGATAATTCTTTTCGAAATAGGAGCTATTGAAACCAAAGCCCATGCCTAACATGAAACCGCAGTAACGCATCATGGAGTATAAGGGTGTAGTATCCAGGTGGATATAGTTTTCGTCAATGCACCATTTGATGGCTTTGTTTATGGTCCACATGGGATCTGTCCCTATAGTCTCCAGAAATGTGTAAACAAATGCAGCGCTAGCCATCATCCCTGCTGTTATGGTTGAATATTGAAGGATGTTGCACTTGACCTGATTGATATTTTCCAGAGACACAGCTACTGCCCAACCTGCCAAAAATTTGAAAAAATTGCATTTAATATTGTATTTATTTAAAAAAAAAATGGGGAGATTTCCGTGTCGTGATCTGTTGTTGAATAATCGCTAAGACTTCGAAACTTCCGGGCAGTGGCCCGCGAGAAACTAAAAAAAAAACATCACAGAAAGGGACCAACTCGAAAGGTATAACTCGTAGCTACCCCCGGGCACACACCTACATGTTTTTTTTTTAAAAAATTTGCAAGTTTAAAATCTGTTTGGCACCTTGGCGATTGTAGTTGGCGCGACAGATCACGATACGGAAATATCCCCCCCCCCCNGAAAAAAAACAGCCCCCCCCTCCAATTTTTTTTTTTTTAAATTTTGGGGAAACTGTTAAATTTTCTATCATCGAAAAAATATTCTTTCAAATATAATTTCTGTTTAATATCTCAGAAAATATCGCACCAATTTGGCATCGTCACCGCAGTTTTTTGTAACCCACAAGAGTCGAAAATTGGTCGTTGACCAAATAACTTTAGCGTGTTCATAGCACCGATGCAAATAAAATTGAAATGCAGTCCATAAGTTTTTATTCATTTGTTATCAAACGAACCAGCATAGAAATCAATTAAATTAGTATCGAACAAGTTCAAATATAATTTCCCATATTTAAAAAAAAAAAATGAACCTGTATATTTCATAATACTGTAGATTAAGTAGAAAGAAAAACAGTTAATATTTTTATGAAAGCACATGTTCTCTTAAAATCTATACAAAGAGTAAGTTTATTTGTATTTATATATATAACACGAGTTTTCAATTGAAAATTGAGATTTGATTCCTTAAGTATTTAATACAGAGCTGCATGTTCAATCACATGCTATTCTCCTATTACTATATAATTAACTATTATTAAATTATTATGTAACGTTTGTCGAAAACGTTGCATAAATGTAAAATCTTCTGATTCATAATTATGGTGAAATTGATTTTTATGTGTTTGAGAAACAAATGAATTATTTTTCCTTTGTATATTAAATTACAGGTGCTACCTTCAAATGAAAGGAATAAATAAGTTAAATTGTCTAATGTGAAACTGTCAACATAAACCTTAATGTGTTTTCAGTTCTCAATGAATATAATCCGAGAATAATTCGCGTGTGTTGTTTTTTATGTTAAATTGTTTTTTTAATTTTTTTATACTAACCATTAATTCCATTCAATGAGCACTGTTTCCCGAACTTCTCGTTAAATACTGTATTGCAATAGAGCATTATAGCGCAGTATTGAATTGAACAGTTCTACTGTACCATAACCATGTAGAGTAGGTGGTTATGGTACACCTTCTTGTAGGTGTTGACTGTACTGTGTTAAAAAAGATGTACTACAAACTACATTATATTTCGCACACGCTGTATTTTATGATTGACTCAACCCGCGGATAATTACGGTTTTCATGCATTTCTAAATAATGAAAACTAATATTACCTAATATTATGCCAAATATGCACTGGTGGGGAAAGTGAGCTGCAATGAATATTCTGGAGGTACCGATTGCAGTTAACAAAAGAAAATACACAAACCAACATGTTTTTGAGATTAAACCGTATCTGAAAGAAAGGACAACTAAATTTAGTATACTTTGTCTATAGACAGAACTCCCCTCACCACAAAGTCTAAAGCCGTCTGCTGCTGTGGAAACTAGAAATAGCGCATTTTTAAGGACGGGAGCTTCTTTCTCCCTTTCTGTCACCGACCCGAGCCAAAATCTGTCTTAAATTATGACACAACTTGAAATAATTAAACTTCGTTACCATTGTCACACTACTCCAGACGAATGTCTTGAAGAGTTCTTTAGATAGACAAACTATATCTATTCTTTATATTATTGAAGTATCGTTCGTTAATATAAAAGTACAGATAAACGCAAATTTCAGGTGGAAAGAATTTTGCTAATTATAAAAATTTAAAGTGATTTAAAAATAATTTAAGTTTTACCTTTTTTAAACCGGTTCTGAAGTGAAATAAATTTAAATTCGGCACCATAATTGTATTATGAATTTAATACAAGTCTATAAGTATTTTTTAAATTACTATTAATGTTTTAAAAGAAGAAAAAAAATGTGTTAGTAAATCTGAATGGAAGAAATAAAAGAGAGCGTTATTTGAAACTTTGGTACTTAAGTGAAATCCTTGATATGCTATATATTACTGCCGACCATTTTCACTAAAACCAAAAAAAAAAAAAACAAAAAAAAAAAAATAGCTCTAAAAAACATGAATTTTTGCCAACATCTGAAAACTATATACCAAATACATGGTGGTTATTTTGATAAACCATACAATTTTGATTATTTTTTGTAATAATTTCATTATAATGATAATAAAATTATCACACTGAGGTAAAAACCATGGAATAGCAATATACAAATGGTAGTAGTATCATGTAGAAAATGTACATACGGGTAGTACAATGGCAGGACTTTTATTTGTGTTCAAGTTATTCATCTGAGAATGATTCTGGTGCAATTATGACCACGAAACGAGAATAGACAGGCTTTGAACGTGGAATGGAAGTTGGAGCTAGTGGGAATTACGCATTTCTATATCTACAATGTCAAGCCGAGAATACCTAATTTCAATCATAGCCTCCCACCGTAGTGCCATACCAAATGCACTTGATGACCGAGAAAGTCTACGTATGCATAGAAATGTCAGTGTTGGCAGACAACATAACGTGAAATAATCGCAAACATCTATGTAGATTCGCTATGGCTCAGGGGATAAAGCGTTCGCCTTCCAATGAGGTGAACCGGGTTCGAATCCCAGCGATGGCTGGTCGATACGAATTCAGCATTCGGCTTGTACCGATCACAGTACTGATTTGAAATATCCTCAGTGGTAGACGGATCATGGGTTAAAGTCCTCTTTGCCATCAGGCTAACCTCACTTTTACCTGAAAGCTGTTTATACGAGTATAAGCAGCATTTTTACCAAATGAGGTTGCCGCACTGCCGAAGAAATATGAAAACCGATTGGTGAAAATTACTATTGTCTTGCAAAAAAACTCACCTATTAGATACTCGTATTCTTGCGAAGGCGGTAATTGCAATCGATGAAAATGCTCCCGTGTCAAGCTAAACTGTGGATATTCGGAAATATGGTGCTTCGTAAGCAAAAAATTATTACTGTCTGTCTAAATTATACAAGATACTCATATTTTCATCTGAAGAACATTTTTCATGTGTATTTAGCGTATAGTGATTTATCTCTTACCTATCTATGCTACTAAAGTTGTTTTTCTGCAAGAATGTCTGTATGATGACATACCAAACGGAAGCTGTACTTTGAGAATGACCTGACGGACTTCCTATTTTAGATAAAAATAGATTTGATGCAATTTTGTTTAAAAACATATTATAAAGAAACTGTTAAAAGACAAATGTTATAGTTAATATACGTGGAAAAAGTTACACTTTTGCTTTTTATTCGAAAATATTCACCTTAACTGCGTTGAAATGTAGGTTGGCTATAACTGGATACCTGTAAGAGACGCCACGAGTGGCATTTGTTTATGCAACGATTCAGCAGCCAATCAGGTTCGACAGACATGCGTGACGTCGCTTGCAGGCATCCAATTAAATATGATCCGAAAAGCGTGATAGTAAACCAAGCCTTGTAACTATAACGTTTACACGCCAAACACAACCGCGTGATTAGGCCATAACATGTGATTTCAGCAGTATTCTTCTCAAGTTGAAAGTACCCAAGTAATGTTAAAATGTTTAACATTAACCAAGCCTTATAAGTATAACGTTTACACGCCAAACACAATCACGTGATTAGGCCATAACATGTGATTTCAGCAGTATTCTTCTCAAGTTGAAAGTACCCAAGTAAGGTTAAAATGTTTAGATCAATGTAGAATTTGTTCTGGTAAATGGATGTCGATGAGGTTTGGAATATACGTTATATGATATACGACGAAAATAATTGCCATAAAAATAGTCTATATTTTCACCAATAGATAGTCTTTCTTATGTATAACAAAAATGGTTTTGCAATATGTTAAAAAGTTAGTAATTAGATTATTTGCATAAAACGTAAAATCATTCTGCTTCATGCCAGAAAGAACGAATGCTATTTGTAAAGTTGTTTTATCTGAACAGCAATAATCTGTCAATTGTACTGGTGGTCGAAATTTAAACTATTAGTTAATTGAAATTTTTTTCCCCATGGTTCATATAACATCTATTCAAAGTTTCATTGATGTTACCCATACGGAATGGACTTTACATAGTTCTAAATTGAGTAATTATACTTACATATTCATAGTATAGAATAATTTATGCCTATAGTATTTGACGTTATGTAATTAACTACCATTGGCAACAATAATAATTTAAACAGAGTATGTTTTTCCTTCAAAACGAAGTTTAATTTATTTCATTTGTTTCACCTTCACATTTCATTTGAAGTAAAGGGAAATGTAAGAAAAGTTGTTCGATAATACTATTATTTTATGCATGTCATTTAAATAATAAAAACTACATTATCATGGTAATTGCGATTTATAAACGATCAGTAAAGCTCATCCGTGTAATAAAATCGTACCAAAATCAAGTTTTATTCGAATTTATATAGTCATAGTTTAATCGAGATTATATAGAACGTTTCACCTGGAAAAAAAAATTGCAGAGTGAAGATCGATCTTACCTGGTCCAGTTTCACAGGTAATCGGAAATTGGTGTAAAAAAGGTATTGTTTTCCCAGTTGTATTATAAATTTGTGTTTCATGGACCCACCAATACGGTCGTTCTCCGTGTAGTAACCTGTGAAAAGATTCAATTTAGATAAATGATTGTGTAGATTTCAATATACTTATAACACTTATATTTAAAATTAGATCCATTATTTTATTTGTTTCATGTGTACTTCGTAAATTTTTATTTTTGTCTCAAATCATTACTTAAAAAATTGTATAACCTGAAAAAAAATGGTAAGAGGTATTGCATAACAAAGCAAATTCTTTTTCGAATAAAAGCTTTTTACACTACATGTATCAAAATCAATATAAGAACTACATAGAATTTTATCTTATTTTTAAATCTGCTTAATAATTATGATTGCTCCCAACAATAGAAAAACTTTGAGTGTACAAGGAGAAAATAATTGCCAAATCATTCAGTAAATTCAAAAGTATGCTTCATTTAAAATCAATGCGAGAGAAAAATAGTTTATGGTAACTTAAAATATATCTTGTAAATTTTCCTAATTCTAAGTTTTCCAAACGATTATCAAAAATTATAAACAAACATCCATATGCTGCAAATTCCTCAAAAAAGTTCTTGGCTTCATTGCTGCACGTATATCAAGAATTTGATCGACAAATGTTAATCAATTATCTAAAAGCAAACTATAAAATGAAACCAGCGGAAAGTTTTTTTTTAATCCTTTGTTTGCAAATGTTAATTAATTATGTTTAATGCCAAATAAGTAAAAACTTTATAATTTAATGCAACCTACAAACTATTGTTATTAAATAAGTTCTCATAACCTTAAAAATATTTTTGTTAGACTTGTTTTTAAAAACAAATTTTTAATATTGAAAGCTGTTTGGTTAAAAAAAATGATATCGGGTATCGCATAAATTGCCATTGATTTGAAAAATCAATGTAGAAAAATGGAAATGCTCAGTTTGCTGCGTTCTCCTGGGAAAACAAGTTTTATAACTGCCCAATTTTCAAAATTTGATGCAAAGTTTAATAACAGATGGCACTATCTTCTGACTAAAAAAAATTTCGATACAGTATTTTCAAAGTAATAGAAAAATCATCAGCGTGCAGTCTGAGGGCAAAATTAAAATACGCCATTTCAGATATTTTCACTTAAATTGATTAGAATTGCATCAGAAAACTTTATTTAATATACAGTTTTTCTAATTTAGAAGCACCTTGTTGGCAAAATTTTCAACTTGATAAAAGTGACAAGTAAAGCTATGATAACTTTTTAAATCTAATTATTTCACAAAGTAGTTTTTACATTATATTTATTTATAATATTTACTTTCAATAGTTAAGATTAATTTCAAAGGCAAGAAAAAAGTATACATATCTAGAATTTTGAGATTTTGTCAGATAAAAATACCTTGTCTATCACCCCCTGTTTTAGTCTAAGAGAAAAAGTTTGCTTCGTTTTATTTTAGTAAATTTTAGCTTGCAACCAATCAGATATAGTTAACCATATGTCGTAACTTTCTAGCGAAGTTAGATAGCAAGAACTCTGATTTTTGAAGAAAGTAGCCAACCATACATTTTCAAACGTATTATGTTTTTTTTTTTTCATTTCAACTCTGTAACGAATGCCTTTCTTTAAACTGAAAAGTGCTCATGTGGTAATTTTTACCATGCGTTTAGATGTGCAATCTTATCAATCTTTAATTTTATTTCTCGTGCGCACCTCCCAAATTTTATTTTTACATGCAATGATTTCTACGCAACAAATTAAATTGTAGTACAATGTTGAGTTCTTGAGACATGGAGGAAAAATTCGAAATTTAATTTTACCATACTTCTTATGAGCATTATTATTTAAAAAATCTTGTACTTTAGTTTTCCTATATTTAACGTAAGAAGGGGACGACTTCAAACAGTTTAAGTGATTACTGACCACTTTAAAAGATGATTGCTCCATTCCATCATGATGACCACCCACATTAACCTTCTTCCAGCTTTGAAGTCCAGAGAGAACAAGATGGGAGCATACAGAAGAAAGGCATAACGAGGATCGAATACATTGGAAATACTGATCATTACATCCTTGTAATTCATAAACCTGCGGAAATGATTATTTTTACCTTTTAGACGTTTTTCTGACATGAACATATTGGTTTTATATGCGTATGAACTGCATATTGTGAAATACTACTAACTCGACACACTACAAGATAGAGAAATTGAACTTCAAAGTTATAGAAAAAATTCATAATCTCTATTCATATTTTTATCGATGCCTTTTTATTTTGGTATCTTTTCTTAGCCCGTTGATCAAGTTCACTAAAGTGCTTCATAATCAAAGCTTTAATTATGCATTTTTAGAATTTTTGTCAAAAATGATGTAAATAAAATGGAAACACAAGGGGCACCAAATTAATCGTTAAGAAAAGAAGAAAAAAAAAGAAAAAAGGCTCGAAAACGGATGAATTACTACTGAGAAAAGGCGTGAATGAAACCTTAAAACCAATTTGATTGCCAAGTTGAGCTTGGAGGAATTTCAAATAATCGCCTTTTAGCTACCCTAGTTGCCTCGGAAATCAAAGTCGAGCTATTTTCACACTCAGAAATCCTACTGTAGCCGTTGATTGGACACCAGAAAGGAAACCTTCTAAGATGTAGAGCCAGATTTTTAATCAATGCGCAATATGATGGAAAAGGAAAGAAGTCATATTGTATGGGCTAGGAAGATTTTCTAGTGTTACGCTTAATTGGGCACCTGATGGAAAACGTCAAAGAAGTATGTCCAGTTATAATGAGCAGGGTGATAGAAAAGGAGAGAATTGATATTGGATGGATTAGAGAAAATTCATTGTATTGCCCTTGACTGGACTCCTCTGAGTGAAAATGTCAATGTGGTAAGTTCAAATTTTAACGTTGCACAAGATGATGGAAAAGGAGCAAACTGTTACTGTATGGATATGAGATTGCCCTTGATTAGAGCAGAGAGAAAAGGTTAAAGTAGTGGGTCCAGATTTAATCAATGTGCAAGATGATGGAAAAAGAAAAAGAGATTGACTAGAAATTTTTATGTTCTGTTGCCCTTGATTGGGCTCCTGAGAGAAAATGTCAAAGGAGTAAGCGCAGCACCGTGTAAGACGATGAAAAAGGAGAGAAGTGTTGCTGCATGGGCTAGAGAAAATTCTTTGTGTTGACTGTGACTAGGCATCACAGGTAAGACTTCAAAGAAGTAAACTCAGATTTTTTTAAATGAGCAAGATGATGTAAAATAAGAGAAGTGTTATTGCATGGGTTAGAGAAAATTCTTAACGTTAACTGTGATTGGACACCACAGGTAAAACATCAAAGAGGTAAACTCAGATTTTTTTAAATGAGCAAGATGATGTAAAATAAGAGAAGTGTTATTGCATGGGTTAGACAAAATTCTTAACGTTAACTGTGATTGGACACCACAGGTAAAACATCAAAGAGGTAAACTCAGATTTCATCAATGAGCAAGATGATGGAAAAAAAGAGAAGTGTAATTGAAAGGGTTAGAGAAACTTTTTTGTGTTGCCTGTGATTGGGCACCACAGGTAAACTCAGATTTTATCAATGAGCAAGATGATGAAAAAGGAGAAAAGTGATACAAGATGTACTGTAGAAGCGGATAATTCCCGATGAAAGAAACTTTTGAAGACAGCTTTGCCTTGTAACAAGTTGTAGAGCTACAGAAAAAGATACTAGATGGGCTATCCAAGTAGCTGGTAGATAAGAGGCTAGAGTAACTGCGGCCGTAATACCCAAAAAAGCAGCGAAAAATCAGACTGAAGGCTTATGTGCCCAGGGCTAAAGAGAATCTATGCATGAATTCTGATGATGATATTTTCTGTTGTTAAGCGCTGAAATTCTTTTTTATAAAATACGTTTGATTTGCTGGCATCATAAGGAAATAATTTTTTTCCTATTTAGTGCAATTATTTTACTGATTTACGATTTTAGAAATCCTTAATTATTTTATTTAGTGCTGATTTATTTAGGACTGAGATTACTGATAAAAGCTGAGGAAAAGATATTGATGTCACTTCAACTGTGACATTAATATCTTTTTATTTGCTTTTGTTTTACAGATTCTTAACCTGAACGAACTCTTTGCACGTTCTAAATCAAGGGTTTCCAACTTACATGTGGCCGGAGACCGCAACTAAAAGCACCAGTCAAATGGCGGGCCGCAACTTTTTCAAAATTCTGTACAGGATTCTTTTATGTTTGATTTATCATTAAATATTACTCTCAGATTTTTATCAAAGTTTTTTTAATATTAAAAAGAAAAATAAGAAGCATTACAAATAATGCTTGTTATGTATCATTTTGAATCTTCTCTTAATCAGCAACTTAGTGACAAGATTTTTTATCTTTTAAATTTAATTCTGTGATAAATTAACATTTATTTCGATTTATTAGGAATTATAACAACAGCAAAAAAATTCTCGAGCATCTGAAATTAAAATTTTTGTTTCTCTTCCGCTCATGCGATATTCAATTCAAGGAATTTAAATAAAACATGATATTCATTCCCTCTTTTATGCGTTTTAAAATTGACAAATGTAAATAATCTCGTCCAAAATGAGTGGTTTCAAAAACTTAAATGGAAGAATGTCTTCGAGAAAATTTCTGATACGCAGATGCTAAATTATATTCACAAAATGCAAAAAAACGAAATAAAAAAGAGCAACATACACGATTATTTTTGTATTTGAATAAATATTTTCTTGGATGCAAAACTTGGGAAATTAATTTTTTTTTCAGCGTTGATATGTTAAATTTCACAGAAACGAAGAAATAAGTTTTTTTTTTCAAACGAAAGAAAAGTATTTTAAACCCATGTAGATTTTTTACGAAAATTGTCCCCCAAAAAACGACAACTAATATATTTTAGTTCGCGGGCCACAAAAAAAAGGCTTCGCGGGCCGGATGAGGCCCGCTGACCGCCAGCTGTTAACCACTGTTCTAAATCATCAAACAGCACTAGACACAAAATCAAAATCAGTTTAAAAACGTAGACGCCAAATTGTGCGAAGGTTTGTGATCTGCTTAACTAAAAACACTTACATTATCTCAGCTTGCTTTAACTAGAATATAAATTCTTCTACCCTCTGTTAGATCATATTATATAATTAGATCATATTATAAGATGTTTAAATTAAGAAAAATACTTGTTACCTTGCTTGGATATATTCTATAATATGTACATCTTTTTCATAAAGTATATCCATTGTCCAGAGTGCTCTGAAAATGTATAATACGAGTATAAGCTGAAACATGTACAACCGTGTCTATAAAAATTTGGATTAAATTAAAAAGATTAAAAAGAAATTTTCTAAAGGATTAAATGTACTATTTGTGCTTACTATTCATATATTTCACAATTACTTACATTTAATGCAGTTGACTTCAAAAAACTTCCAAGTGCGCGTCATTATGGTATCTCGAATAAAATTTATTTATTTTTTTTGTTAACTGTAGATTATTAAGTCAGTTACTCTTGTGAAAAAATTAAAATTTACTAAAACAAGTTAAAAATATACTTTTGTGAAATTTGTGCATTTCTAATTGGTTAGTGCATTTCTAATTGACAATTCGTAGCAAAATTGTTTTGAAAATAAAAACCATTTCATTGGTTTTCCAAAAAATTGATGTTAAAGGACATATTTATTTGAGAAAAACTAATTATTGATTACTTTTTTCAACTTGAAAGTTGAATAGTGAGAAACTTATGCTATTTAATTGTATTTTTGTATAGAATACTGGACAAGAATATACCAATCGATGGCACATTGCTTTACAAAACCATCAATGTTAGAAATACAGGGCAGTGGCTTACGCATTCCTGCCTGGTTAATTATTCCAATCAATGCAACTATTTTACTTAATACACAGCTATTAACAGAAATCTATGTCTGTATTATTAAAGAATGCGAAATAAAACAGGAACACCAAGTTTGTAACACCAAACAATTACTATTAACTAATACTAATCCTAATCATGTTAATTAAGAGTATAAAATAACCATTTGGTCTTGTTTACAATGCCTAGGCATTGGGAGAAATGCTTAATCATTTTATACTGTGCTAGATGATTTTTGGTATTGTACACCAGTATTGTCCAACTGCAAAGAGCCCACGGGCCAGAATTCCGGTCACTGATTACCTGGCGGGCCGCATTTTGAAAAAGTTGAACAATACCCTCTTACCTCTTATACAATAGCAATTAATAGTTGAATTATTAATTATAAAACAATGGAACAGAAGGATTATAAAACAATTTGCTTACATTTTAATGGGAAAACTGAGGCCGATCAGACTGAATAAGAAGTTGGCGGGCCACACAATAAGTGTTGGCGGGCCGCCAATTGGACAGCCCTGGTATACACTGTTGTATTTCTCACTTTGTAGGTTGCGTATATGAAAAAAAAAATTTAAAAAATGGGACAGCTCTCCGGAGACCATTGCAAACTATTCTGACTATGCCGTTCGAAAACAAACTGAAAAGTTTAATCAGTTTTTATCTTAAGAGAAAATTGGAGATATTGTTATCTTATTTTTTTATTATAAATATGCGATTTTGAGTAGAAATCAAATGTTTTGAAACTAATCTTTTAATATTTAATGCAAAATATTTTCCAACTGACAATATTTGTGTAACTTTTTCATCAAAATAAAATTTTTTATAAAACCTATATTTGAAAATTGGTAATTTGGTTTGTGCATTTTAAATAGAACTATCAAACCAGATGCAGAAGAAATGTTTCTTTAGTTTGTAAAAATTGCGAATCGTACTTTATTATTCTTTAAAATTTTAACTTGTTTATTATAGTTTGATTTTTTAAAAGAAATATTTGAAATATTGATAAAAGAATTATTATTAAATAAAGAATGATGACGTCATGTGAAAATTATGAATGAGATACCTGCAAATGGCGTAATGTGAGTATCTCGATCCCGATTGACTATAAGAAACGTGGTATTTGTTTACGTTAGCAACTGTTCTTTTCATTCTATTTCGAGTAAGCCAAGTCCATAAAGTATCAATTCTCTTAAATATCCGTAATGAGTCTTAAATAATAAGTCTTAAGTACATTCCATATTCTTTCACAAAAATTTCAATTCCTTCACTATATATTTCTTACTTAACACATAGACAGGCACGAGGAAAATAAGCAAACTAATTATGCATCAAAATTGGCAGGTACACAAAAAAAAAATATATACTACGGCTACAATCAAATAGATAAACAAATATAAATAGCTAAGTTAAGTAAAAAATGTAAACGAGAAAGAATATGTCAATGAATTCCATGTGTGGTACGGCACTGTAATTTATTAACTTCACGTTAATTAACATTCCAACTTATGTGGAGAAACCTAGCTCAACTTTAATGCGCCATTTTGCTTATAAACGATCAGCTGACGTTGACGTCATGGGTCACATATGTGGATATCTGTGATTCTTCTTCCTGAAGTGCAAGTAACCAATTGTATCAATCGAAAATTCAACAGCTAAACGATTAACAGCCGTCAAACATAAACGATAAACTTTTCAAATGTTGAAGAAATTTGGAGTGGACTCCAAAAATTCCGTGCTATGAAACAGATCCATTCCTGTTATCAATACGTATTTAAGTGATAATAACAGAAACGAAACTTTCTTAACTTTTTATTTGGCTTTAGATCTAATTAACAGATCTCGTAAATGAAACCGGTCTCCTGGTACAAAAAAAATCATTTTAAGTTTCGTTATTTTATATTTCGAACTAAGAAATAATTACATACTTTCTCTGAATAAACATACCTTTTTTCCCCCTACAGATTTGGAATCTTGACCCTCAAGCTGGGGTAGATATATAACAGTCGTTGAACAGCCAAACCAATTTAGTGGGTTACGACTACTAATGTCCAAATCCGTAGCCTTGTAATTTTAAACCCAATCCAGATGACAAGGGAACTCCTAGAGCGAGTATTGGGAGATATTTGCCTTCTTGGAGGACTTTTTTGATGGAGCAAATCGCATTTACGTTGCATGGAGAGGAAGACCACGAGAACCTCTCGCGATTAGCCTAACGGCAAGGGGACTATAACCCATGATCCGTCTACCACTGGGAATATTTCACGTCAGCACTGTGGTCAGTGCAAACCGGATGCAGATTTCGTATCGAATGGGATTTGAACCCGGTTCGCCTCGTTGGAATGCGAACGCTCTATCCCCTGAGCCATCGCGGCTCCGGTAGTTGCTATCCGAAAAATAAGGTTCAAGTAGTTTGGTCAAGAGAGTGGCCGAAAGTTTAGAAATCCATCACGTTAATTTTACTTCTTGCGTATTTCGCCACATTTTAAGAAATTTTGAAGCGAATCGAAAAATTTGTTCCCACAATTATAAAATTCGTTTATTCAAAGATAATTTCAGTGCCCAAAACAATTTTAAATGATTGTTTGTTATTATTTTATTTAATAACAGTCGACTTTGAATTGCGAGTTATAAAATTTTTTACATCGTAATAAAAAATGTAATTTTAAATGATAAAGTACATCATTTGAACGAAGTCGCTAATAGTTCTTCAATTCGATTTTTCGATTCGCTTAAAAAGTTCTTAAGATATGGCGAAATATGCAAAAAGTAAAATTAAGATTAAAAGCAAAAATTTTCAGAAAACATAGAGAATTGTTCAGTTAAGAAATAATTACAATTAAAATAATTTATTAGAAAGGTTGCATTTTTGTGTTTATAATAGAATTGAGGGAATGTTGACAGTTTTACAGCTCACCTGAAGGAAGGTTAATTTTTTTTATTTTCGAAAAACCAAAAATAAATATTAAACAATTTAAATAGAAATTTATAATAGCAATAATTTAAAATACCGAATCAGGAGATAAAGCATTCGCCTCCCAATCAGGTGAGCGAGGTTCGAATCTCAACAGCGACTGGTCAGTGCGAATTTTTTCTACCGACTGGCACCGACCACAGTGCTGACGTAAAATATCTGTAGTGAGACACATTATGGGTTAGAATTCCCTTCTCATCAGGCTAACCATGAGAATTTTTCGTGGTTTTCCTCTGCATGTATCGTAAATGCTAGTTAGTTCCATCAAAAATCCTCCCCATAGACTAGTTTGTCCCAATGTTTGATCTGGGAATTTCCTTGTCTTCTAGGTTGAGTTCAAAATTACAAGGCTACGATGTTTAACATTGATAGTCGTAAATTCAGAATTGGGCAGGTTATAATATTAAAAAAAAAATTAATCATAGCAATTAAATTCTAGAAAACTCTAAGAAAATTTTAAATTATTAAACTCAAAAAACTTTTAAACTTACCAAATGCTATGATTGGTTAAATTCTTCTTGAAGACACTTATTTTATCACATAATTCCACACCTACACATACACTTTTATTGATTTTATTCGGTTTTAAACCAATGATTGAATAAATAATGCCTTTTACTAAATCTTACTTCTCGAATTCGATAATGGATATGGCAAGCCTTTCACTTCAAGAGATATTCTTCATTCATTGTGTAAATCAGATATTTATAGATCCAAACTCATTATTGTATATGTTTTTGACTGGTGCGCGAATGCCTCGTAACTCTCTCTATTGATCTATTTTTATAACTTTATTGTTCTTTGGCATAACTGAAACGGTATACTCTACTTTAAATCGATATAAAATATTCTTTTTGTTTCATATTCCGTGAAATGTATTTCGAGAATAAAGGTTGAAATTACTTTTACACTCCGTCCGTTTTATGTTTGTGTAGTCTCTCTCGATTGTTAAAAATTAAGCGTTTGAATTATTGATTGTTATGATTTGTTTTTGGCAACGCTATTTAGTAATTCTCAACGCTTTATNAATCAAAAACTTAATCTTTTTAAGCGAACATAAAATATTTATTTCTTCTCTTCCAGATCAATGTAACGGATACTTTCTTTTTATTTCATTATTATGCAGACATATAAATTCACTGTCGCCTCTAATCGAAAACAAAAATCTATTTATAACTTTTTATTCTAATTTTCCAACGGCTAAATGTTTCGGTTTCATGGTTATATTAATTCACATAAATTTGTTCTTGCAGTTATAGTTATGTGTAATTTAATGAACCTTAATTTGGTGACACAGGAAAGTCAAAATCCATTCATCTAACGAGAATAAAATGTTTAAGTGAATATTGTATTCGATAGTTAACTTTACTAACCCCTTAACGATCGGTTAATTTTCAAGAAAACGGTCATAAAAGTGTCTATTTTTTTGACTTTTGTATTTGTATTACGTATTTGATTAGTGATGCCATCTAGCCTAAAATAAATTAACTATCTACAATTACCTTACAAATATCCTGGTACTGCCATCTGGTGTGTAAAAGGAGAAATAAAATGTTTTCCGAGCAAAAGAAATGAATTAGTTTTATTCTTATTGGTGCGTTGCTACTAAATACTCCAGCCCGTCAATATCACGGGAGCGAGAAATAGAGGACGAAACCTCACCCCGTCATTTTCACGAAAGCGAGAAGGAAGGGGCTAAAGTCAAAAATGTACATTAGACCTAATTCCCTAAGGTCAACTGTTAAACCATCTATCGAGGCAAAATTTCTGAATGAGTGAGCATGCGATGTTTCAAGAGAATGTTTTTTTTTTCTTTCTAATGCCAACCTGGAGAATGACCTTTCTTCATACAAGCATCTGAAGGGCAGATTTGCTGGCCACTCTTTCAGGGGTACCACATTAGGTAGGTCAACGTTGCTCCTACAATAAGGACAGATAGTACAGAGAAGGAGTGAACATCCGTGCCTTGTCCGGGATTCGAACCCAGAACCTTCGCAAGGTCAGTTCCCTGAACCCTACACAGGCCGGTCGGTGTCTAAGTGAATGTATATGTAGATAATTTTCTAACCTCTTCATTATCTTCGACATATAGAGAGGAATTTTACATCATATATGTAAGAGTTTAATAATCACTTCGTTTACTGTGAAACAGATCCGTGTTGTATGTTTTTTTACTATTTTCTTTGATTATCCAAAATTTGATGAATATTTAATTAACAATAATTAGTTGCATGTGTTACTTAAAATAATAAATTACTCAGATGTTTACTTAAAATAATAAAACAAATAATTCAGCATTGTCATGAGTTCTTTATGAGCATTGTTTGTGTAAAGTATAGTGCATAGTACAGGGTAAATGCTAAGTATAGTGTTAAGCTTTTAGTTATTCTAAAGGGTTATTAGGGCATTCTTAATTTAAAATGAAAACAAAACAGTACATGATATTAATGTGATTTTTTTCTAATTTAATTCTTGGCTTTTGTATGACATTATTACTTAAAAATGATTTCAAGTAAACGCTCAACTCTGTATCTTTTTCGTTTGTTTTTAAATTAATCTCCAAATTTTTGGGCACTTTTCCACATAAATCAACAGTTATTTACCAAAATATATGATATTGATGTTTTAAGATCATCGAGTATCAGCAATTATTTAGGAGGTCCTTATTGTTACCATTTGATTCAAATCTTTGAATTAAATAAAAAAAATTGTAAGCTCTGTGAGTCGATTTTGTGGAAATAAATTCCACGTATTGTCTAACATGAAGTCCGAATAAGTTCATTAGTTTCGTAGCAAATTATAAAAATGTCTATACGCTGCGTATTGCAAATATTTTACTTTCTATGAAGATTTTTCAAACAATACAAAACATAAATGTCAATTTTTGGAGATAATCAAAGAAAAAAACAGGGTTTTTATAGTGTTCAAAAAATATTCGGTATTATTCCAATATGCGATTTAACTGTGCAATAGACATTTATATTTAATAGTTGAGTTTTTTTTTTCCTTTTAGTTTTGCTCTTTAAGTTTCACTGCCTGTAATACATTTGCCTCGGATAAAGTACACTGATGTTTTTTTAGGTTAGGTACCAGGTTTTGATATATGATGTTTTTAAGAGTAAATGCCACCAACCGATATACACAGCACTGATGTTTTTTAAGGTATATGGATGATGTTTTTTAAGGTGAGTACCACGGTTCGGTATACTCTACCATACTATACTATAGTAGTAAAACTAAACTATAGTAGCCGTACTCTAAAATTCTATACTATTGATCCGTAAAATGATTAGATCGCATATTGGGACAATACTAAATATAAAGTAGTAATTTGATCACATTTTGTTACTACTTTCTTATAGCAATATCTGTTTTTAAGAATATCACTAATAAGATTATACTTCTAGTGAGTTAACATTATTTGCTATTCCTTTGGTAGAATTTTTTCGAGCTATCTGCGAAGAAACTCTCTAGCACTAATATATTTCTTCAAGATACTTTTAATAATAACAAACATATATGGTAGTAATTTAAAATAACAACCGCGCTGTGTTTACAAAAAAGAACTATATAATTAATTTTTTTTTAAAATTGAACATGTAATAATTTGCTGTTCTAATATTATGAGTGATATTCTCGCATTTTGTTGTGGGGGGGGGGGAGAAGCCCAATTTATTTCCTTCTTCGCATTTTGTAAATAATCATCACAATAAAGAAAATTATTAAACATCATGAAATTCGTAGTAGGAATTTGCCGGAAAAAAAGGACGAAATGATGCGAATCGGACTCCTCAAATGCATGTTTCTTTTCAAGATTAGGTTGTTGTAATGAATAATATGGTAAAAAAAAAATATCGGATTTGAAAACTATGGCAAAATTAATAGCAATAACTGCCAAAAATACCGTAGAATTATTGCTTTGATAAGTAAATACACAAATGCACGATTCGAATTGTCCATACTGTTTGAAATATATCGGGATAGTTTAAATCCACGTGAAAATCAATATCAATAACTGCAAAAAATGCGATCGAAACATTACATCGATTTACGATACTATCGGTGTAAATTGAGCGCGTCAAAAGGTGATTATCTAAATACGTGATTGAAATAGTGAGTGTAAATTTCTTTAGAAGAGGAAAGTAATTTTTTTTTTAAACTTATCAAATGAAAACTCTTTCTGCAACATTGTGCAAGAGTGTCACCGTGTCACTGTGATTTTGCCTCGGACAAAGAAATTTAAGCAACGTTAAGAATTAATCAATGTTCCATTGACATAAATGAAAACTTATTAAATTCATTTTCATTTTGCACAATACCCTTACTCTCTCCTTTAAAGCTCTCTTAATAAACTAAAATGTAACTTTTCAAAACACACAGTTTCTTCATTGAATAAATACATTTACAAAAGTTTCCAATATTTATTTACAGTTTAATAAACAGCACTTTTTTTTATATGTATCCTTGGTATAACAAGAAACATAAGAAAAATGCTTAAATAATATTTACTCTATATTACACAAATACAAAAATGATTTTTCTTTCAATTGACAAACTCATAATCATTTTGATATCGATATTCATCTAATTGTTTAAAAAACTCTGACATTTTCCTGGACATATTTCAAACATTACCAGAAGTAAAATTATAAAAATTTATGAAAATAAATTTTTCCTTAACTATGTTTCAGAATGTCTTGAAAATTGAGATGAATTTATAAATCCTTACTTTTTTTGATTCATTATTAAAATAATTTATTCACAAAACGAAAATTTTATAGTAGTTCATGACAATTTTGAAATTAATGAGTGTGTGTGTCTATTATTAAATTTTAAAACCACAAAATATTTTAACTTTATGAAAGAAGCGTACCATTTCATTTAAAATTAGGGTTGCTTATACAACCTGAGGCCATAAAGAAGCTATAACTCACAAATTATACAAATTGTACCTTAGCACTGACAGTTTCATACATTACAAACAATTAGAAATATGTACAATATTTACATAGATACAAAAAAAGATAAGTAAATAATTGTGCGATGCGGAAACAACTTTCCTTATACTCATGCTGAATGCTTATACTCACACAATTTTAAGTCTACTCAATAAGTACTTAAGCAAACATAAGAAATTTTAGATATTGAATATAAAGTAAATCCATCAACTCTTATATGAACTATGAAATACGACCGAATATACCAACTAAACTGGCCTTTTGTCTTATTATTATGGGTTTGATTCAAAGATAAAATGCTAATAAAAGTTAAAATGTACTTTTTTTACACTAAAATTTAAAAAAAATCAATGTATGCACACACAATTTAAGAGTAACACCAGTTCCCACTCTGATCATTAGAGCTTGAAGAGTTTTAAATAAGTTACCGATTCATTTACCATTACAAAAAAGTAAATTTTCACTTGCAATACGTTATGTTAGATTCTTTAAATTTACCCTGTGAGAAATTTTGGTAAGTGGGAAAATCCAATGTACTGCTACCTTAAAACATTCCAAAATTAACTATATCATCTAGTTCTTTAATCTAATTACGATACTGTGGGGTACAATTTAGGCGGAAATATGGTTCAGCTTAACATTTTATTAAAGTTTTAGCAACTTCACACAATATTATAGTTCAAAGTATCAATATTATGGTTTAAAGTTATATTGATTTTTTTAGCGAAACGTTCAAGTTATTCAGTATTCTTAGTCGTTGCTTCCAATAATAACTGTTCACATTAGGTAATGTTTATGGTTATGTGAACTGACTAAAAACAATTAAAAAACACCTAGACATCCTTACACTAGAAATAATAGAACAGAAAGAAAAACTAAAAACGAAACAAATAATAACATTCATGAACTAAATAAAGAAACAAAAATAAAATAATTTCAACAAAGCCTTCCTTCTTTTAGGAACTTTACATCGCTAATTAAAGAACGAAAAGTTTCAAAACTCTATTGCGACTTAAGCTTCTTGGTGGAAAATTTGGCAACAATATTAGGTACGATGGCAACCATTATATATGATAGAAAAGAATTTAGAAGGAAAGCTTGAACGTGAAGCAAGAGCATGCTGCCCGGAATCAGGCTAACCTTTTCTGATAGTTTGCAAACGCCGACAGAGAGTATGGCACAGGCGATTTTCATGACTAATGAAAACTTTCGCTTAGAATTGTCTTCAAAGCTGTTGCTGTTAAATCCAAAACCCATACCAAACATAAAACCACAATAGCGCATCATTGAGAAAAATGGCGATGTATCTAGAAGGACATATTCTCGTTTGACACACCATTTGATGGCTCTGTCCACTGACCACATAGGATTCACACCAATGGCTAGAAGGAATGCGTACATAGAAAGTGCACTGCCCAGGATACCGGCCGTAATAAGGCAGTAATGGAAGATGTTCAGTCGTCGTTGGTCTATGTTGTCAAGGCTCATTGCTACTAAGCATCCTGTAAAACAATAAAACTATTTAAATACGCATATAAAACATCACATATAAAACACACAAACTAAAAACGTCACAATTTAAATACACTGCTTAAACACTTTAAAAACAAGAAAACAAATTTTAAATAGAAAAATTATAGAATTCCATCTTGATTTTTATGAAACTCTATTCCATAAAAATTATAGAATTCCATTCTATATTTGCACGAAGTTTCAGTTTGGCAAATTTCATCAGTATGAAGAACACAAATAGGAATGCAGTAAGACTTGTTGTCAACTTGCGGTGCATTGCTTTAGCAATCAACTAAGACAGATGGTCAACTTATTAAGGAGGTTAAGACATTTTTTTCAAACATTTCTAACATCATGCTATTTTTATATGCCTCTTGCTTTTTCTTTATTTTTTTACGTTTTTCGAATTAAAATAAAGATGAAGATAATAAAAAGTTTTTCAACTGACTTTAATTTTTCATTTGTAACGTGTAATATTAGCTGTAAAAAGTACATACATTCCCGTGCGCCAATACTTTTCACCATAATTTAATCTGGAATTTTTCAGTCTATCACAATCTTTCTAATTTTACTATCATTATTTAGCTATTACATCAACTAAATTGTCACTGCTATTGTGTCATTGATAATAGTATAGTGTAGCGAAACAGATCATTTTTATTCATTTTTATTAGCATTACAATGTTTACTTGTGTACAAGTAAAAGAGATTTTTTTTTTTGTTTCGTTGAAGCTATTTCATTATTTGGTTCGATATTCAAATTGTAGTTTTTTTTAAATTTGGTATACAAAACAATGTTATTAAAACTTGTGCATTATTTCGAAATGTTAACATAAGAAAACTTTAATATGTAGCAATGATTAACTAATCGTTGATAACACAGAGGAACAAATTTTTTGTTGCCTATATACAAATGCTTGATCTTGTCTAAATCGGGTGTGGGGATTTCAAATCTGAAATTAGTGTTGCTCCTGAAGCTGCAGATTTTTTTGAATGACATTTTTAATCTATTTTTTGTCAAAATGTACAATTATAAAAACTTTTATAGAACAGGGAGTCACGTAAATTTTGTGACAAATTTCTAGGGGAGTTCAGGCATACGTAAGGATTAAAACTGCATAGAAACCTATATTTGTTAATGCCTATTATGACCAGTTCCCTATTATGACCAGTTCAAAAGTCTTCGAAGAAACAGTTTATGATATGAAAGAGCCCCTAGTGGCCCGTATGACGACATTTCTGAGCATGAGTTCCTATGTAGTTCTAATTCTGACGATGAGTTCTAACTCCCCTAGAATCTTGTTGCAATATTTTTGTGATCCATTGTTCTATGTTTTTTTTTTATCTTTTACATTTCGACAAAAAGAGTATAAATGTCATTAAAAAGAAACTGTATGTTAGAAAAAGAAACCGATTGCAGACTTAAAATCAGCAATGTGAAAGTACACAAGAGCCCTTAAAAACTATACTGCAACTGAAGTAAAAAAAAAAAAAATTTTTTTGTCCATGGTGTAATTTTTAAACACAACAACAAATTTCTAATCTCATTCATACCTGAAAACCAATTATCACTTTTAAAATCCCTTTGGTGTTAACAATCAAATTTCATTCATGGCCTTATCAGTATTTACTTCATTCCTCTTAACATCAAATATATATA